GTTTTATATTGGCAATTAGAACCAGCCCACATAAACATTATTAGAACAGCCCACAGAAAACAAGTAGGGAAGGGATGGATCAAAGTAACTAGGAGCAGAAGAAATAAGTCTGTTTTTTATTTGTGAACCAACACTACCTTTGTATTTTTGGGGTGCCATTTGATTGGCTCAAGAAGTAGCAAGCATATGTGTTGTCTGCCTCCAACAGATGAGCAAGCAATCCACAGAAACCCACTGTTGCCCGAATGAACTTTTCTCTGGCCATGAGGTAGAAATAGTGTTATATTTTGTAAATAGAATTTAGTGAGCCATACTCATTTGTAGTTATTACATTATCGCTTATGGTTGCTTTCCATGCTACAGGGGCCGAAGGGCTACAGGACCAGAAATCTTTCATCTCTTGGTCTGCTATAGAAACAATTTGCTGATTCTCTAAGAGGCAACAGCAAAGATGCTTTTCCTGGGCCTATGAATCAAGTAACCACTGGGCACCCTGCGGCTGCCCATCCTCTTTGCATCTGCATTCTTCATTCTGCATCACTCCCTGTTGGAGGCAATGGAATCCATGAAGAACAGTTCTCACCAATGAGCATCTTGTAGCAAAAGGCAAACTCCTCCCCCAGAAGAGAACAGCCAGAAGCCAGACCGCACGCCAGCCTTCAGAGACCAATGCTGAGCTAAGTGACCTCAGCCACACCTGTGACTTAAAACTGTTCTAACTCTGCAGCATTCCTTTCTCAGCACCAGCCCCAATGTCCATAATACCCTGAAGACGGCTGAACATGTACTGATGAGCTGCCTCATAATAAATCCCCCTTCTCTGCCCTTCACCATTTGGCCTCCACTTGACCTATGGGGGGGGCGGGGAGTGCGTGACCAGACTAACATGGGGTTCCTGGACTTTGGGCTTGGGATTTAAACACACATTTTCAATTTCTACCCTAGATCCACAGAGGAAGCATGACCAGGGCTCAGATTTTTCCAAGCCAATCTTATTTTCTCTCCCCTCAACTATCTACCTCTCCCCCAATCACCAGCCCCCTGCTGCGTGTCAGAAAGAGGCTTGGAGCATGACTCTCCACATTGAAATGGAGAATGGAGCCAGGGATGATGAGGACTGGTGGGGGGTGGGGGAGGGAGGAAGAGGAGGAGAAAGGGGAGGAGGTGATGACAACTAATCTGTTTCCTGGCTTGCTAGGTTGTGCACAGAGAAGAATCCTGCCCCCCAAAGGACGGGCCCACTCCTGCCTAACCAATGTAATTGGCAAGTTTTTGACAGATGCTTAGTTTGGGTTTGGAACTTAAAGAGTTGATGCTGAAAGGAGTGCAGTCATTCAAGGAGGCTAGGATGGAGTCATATTTGCGGTCGGGGTAGATGTGAACCCCGGGGTAGATATGAACCCCAGAGCAGACTAACCAAGTCCGAGAGTAGTGCCCATAAAATCATGGGCACTCAGAACTTTGGGATGAAGCACTACTTGGAGGCAGGGTCTTCGCAGCTGTAATTGAGCTGAGCTGAGTCACCCTGGATTAGTATGGGTCCTAATCTAATGACAGGTGTCCTTATTTGATGACAGACCCAGAGAGAGGAACACGGCAGGTGAAGACACTGGAGTGACTGGTGTAAAAGGAGCAGCTGACAGGGATTCCTAGTAACGATCAGAACCAAAGACACAAGCCGGAAGTGGGCTTATCTCTCGATGCCTCCTTACTGGCACCAGTCAACTTTGATTTTGGACTTCCAGAGGAAAGAATGATGGGCAAAAAACAACTATATACATAGTTAAGTCCTCCAGTTTGAGGTACTTTGCTACAGCAGTGCTAGGGAACTGATGCAGGTATGTAGACACCTTAGAGATGCCTTATATAAAAGCTTTAAGGGGATAAAAGTGTTAGTGGCCAGGCACTGGTGGCTCGCCTATAATCCTAGTTACTTAGAGGCAGAGATCTGAGGATGGAGCCTAAGCAGGAAAGTCTGTGAGACTCTCATCTCCAACTAACCACCAGAAAACCAGAAGTGGCGCTGTGGCTCAAGAGGCAAAGCACACTAGCCTGGAGCAAAAGAACTCAGGAACAGCACCCAGGCCGAGTTTAAATCCCACTACTGACAAAAAAAAAAAAAAAAGAGTGATAGTCACCAAGATGCTGCGCACGTATGAACTCGCGTGTTGAGTGGTAAATCCCTTAGTAAACCACTAAAAGATAAAACCTAATTCTTTAAAAGCTCTAGAATGGACCAAGAAGGAGAAAGCAGTGAAATGTCAAAGCTTATCAATAAATGCAGTGAACCTCCAGAAGACAAACAAGGAAAACAAAACAAAAAACTTAGAAACCCCAAGGCCTTGACGAGCAAAGCTGGTGAGCAGAACCGGTTCACACATTTGGGCTCCTTCTTCTTAATAAATAGTTCTGTTTACAAATCCATCCCTGGATTCCACACTTCCCAGGCACTCCACTGTGAGCGGTAAACGAAATACATCCTACAACAGCGGAGGTGATGAGCTGAAGTCTCCATGCCGTTCCTACAAGGCCTCTTCTCTACAAGCCATCTCCCCAGAAAGTCTCATCTCGCATTCTGTGACATAGCAGGAGGAAAGATGAACTGTAGCTGTCAAGAAGGAGCATGCATGGGAAGCCAGATCTGAGATACATGGGAACATGATGTCTGACGTATAGGACTAGGCATTCACACACAGAGAGAACAGAGGAGGATACTTATAGAATACAGAATACAGATACTTACAGAATACAGAAGCACAATGCCTATCAAAATGAACACCAAGAAATGGACATCAGAGTTTCCTTCTTTCCTTTTTGTCTTGCTTGTTCATACATCTCTCTTCAGGAAAAGAGGGGAGCACAGAAATGGAGGGGCCAAGGGTGAGCAAATGCAGCAGCGGTCCTCACTGGACACTATGTTTGAAAATGAACCATATAATTTGTGGGTGGGGATGGGAGGGAAAAACTGGGAGAGCGAGGGAAGGGGTGACACTGCCCCCAAAGAAATGTACTCGTTACCTGACTTATGAAACACTAACCCTTCTGTACATCACCTTCATAACAATAAAAATATTTAATGCAAAAGGAGCATGCATGGACGCAAAAGGCAGTGGGTGAGCAGGTCGTCAGCAGGCTTCTAGAATCACTCCCTGGCCCAGTATTGATCCACCACTCACGTGAGAATTCCTGACACCAGAGGAAATACTGTCCACACACACTTCTCAGCCTAATGCTGCTCAAGGTTGAAACTGTAGGCAAGACAAGAGGAAGTGGTGGGAATGGTAGACAGAATGTCAAGGTATGTCTAAAACGGGTCTAAAAAGGTATGCTGTGCTTTCCTATACTTGCTAGTCCCTGAGAAATAGAAAGGTTTAATTATCTGACTGCTTTGAAACTTTGCCATTATATACATGTATATGTGTATATGTGTGTATGCATATGTGTGTAGGTATATATATGAGTATGACACCACAATTCATGTAAGGTTGTCTATATGGAAGCTCATCCCAATTCTGGTATTCTAGCAGCAAAATAATAATAGTTGCTATTATTAGTACTATTATCATTATTGATAGGACTGTTTATTCTGGCAGTCAAGGGGTTGAATGCAGGTCCTCATACTTGCCATGCTGGCGCTGAAGCGTCTGTAGCTCCCTTCTCTGTGTTTATTATTTTCCAGATAGGACCTTCCTTTGTGTCCTGGCCTCCCTGGGCCTCCATGGTCCTCCTACTTGTATTTCCCCATCTCACTGGGGATGACAAGCGCATCGCTAGCCCAACCTGTTTACCCCACAGCTGGGAAAACAGGCAGCTACCACTGTGCCCAGCCACTGGCTGAGATAAAGCCTCAAAAACTTTTATGCCAGGGCTGGTCTTGAGCTATGATCCCCAAAACTCTGCCTCCCAGGATTACAGACTTGAGCAAAAGTACTTTTTGTGTGTGTGTCAGTAGTGGGGCTTGAACTCTGGGTCTGGACAATGTCCCTCAGCTCTTCAGCTGAAGGCTAGCACTCTACCACTTGAGCCACAGCGCCACTTCTGGCTTTTTCTGTGTATGTGGTGCTGAAGAATCGAACCCAGGGCCTCATGCATGCTAGGCAAGCGCTCTACCACACAGCCACCTTCCCAGCCCTGCAAACACACTCTTGACAGCACCATTTTTTTAATAGTTTCTCAACAGACCTATTTGATACAGAGGTTTTCTGTTTATCTTCATGACTTGGTATTGATCATTTTAAGTAAACTCTCTCTCCACCCGCTGTCAGACTGTGTCTTGCTATGTAGTCCAGGATAGCTTCAAACTTTCAATTCCCCTACCTCCAGCCTTCAAGTTCTGGGATTACAGGCATGTGCCACCATATCCAGCCCTCATCTAGATTCTTAATAAAATCAGACAATCCTATTTTCCTGTGCATTTGCATTCTGATATCCTATTGTAAACAACCAGGAGTAATAGGAAAACAAATGCCAACCTCACACCAGCTCTTACTTCATGCCAACACTTTGCTCACAGGGACATCAAATAGATTGCTTTTGGGAACGATCACTTAGTTTCCAAGAAGGGCCAGCTCCCAACACAAAAAACCCAATCACCCAGATTTCACCAAGTGATCTACGCTGCGTTCATGGGTATGTTTCCTATGACTGGAAACTCTTCAGGAGCTGGCCACTATAAATCACTGTTTCAGTAAAGAAATCAACGGGGTCTCTTGGCCGAAAGGGGCAACAGATACGTCTTCCTTTTCTAGTGCCTAAAATAATCAACCTCCGTCATCACTGCCCAAGCTTTTTATTCTCTGCTTGTCACACGGCATCCAGACTGTGCTCACAGAACTATGGCCTCTGGACTCTAAATCCATCACACTCCGCTCAGCTACCTCCATCCCAGAAGCTGAGCTCAAGAGTTTCTGGCATATGCCCAAAGCCTTCGCTATCTTCTGACCACCGACCCTCATGGGAAGGGGCACATTCACAGACAGAGCCAGCCCTGTGAGCCTTACCTTATTCTGTGCGCACGCGTATCGTATTCTCAGGGTGTCCATCGCTCTGATCATGGCCTGCATGGCAGTGAAGATGTTTTGGTAGACCAGCTTCGTGAAGCCCTTCCTGTCTTCATCGCTGTAACCAGACCCATGGATAATTCTCATTTGCTTGATAAAGGTGCTTTTCCCACTCTCACCAGTTCCTGCAAATAAGAAAACAGACAGACCCATAAAGCACAGCAGCCAGCACAATGTCAAAAGGACACCTGAGACAGGACCTGGGGCGGGATTCATCTGTACACGGCGCCGGGTTAGCGAGCGGACCTGACAAAGCCCTGGCGCCTGCTCCCTCAGGTCTGGGTTGCAGGGAAGTGCCATCCCCAGCTCCAGGAAAGGCCTCCCAACCCTTCTCCATGCAGGGAAATCCGGCACCAGAACCACACTTCTCTCAGACTGAGATACTGCTTGGAAAGGGAGTAGAAACTGCAGTGGAGGTGTCGAGAATTCAGTGGCAGAGTGATAAACATGACTGACGACCATGATTTGAACATATGTCCTAATCACGGCTCACTTCCAAAGCTAAGTATTGCTTTAAGATTGTATTAGCAGTCCAGGCTGATGGGTACTCAACACAGTGAAGTTTCTTCCCGTTAGAATGAAGGAGAAACAATATCAGAACTAAACTGACTCAAGGGGCGTACTGTAAATAGCTGCACTTTATAACAATGACACCCACTAGACACTACGTTGGAAATGAACTTTACAACTTGAGGGGGAGGAGAGCGGGGAGTGGAAGGCAGGAGAAGATGAGGGAGGGGTAACTGTTTATAAAGAAATGCACTCATTGGGGCTGGGAAGGTGGCTCAGTGGTAGAGCGCTTGCCTTGCATGCCTGAGGCTCTGGGTTCAATTCCCCAGCACCACATAAGCAAAAAGAAAAAAAAGCCGGAAGTGGTGCTGTGGCTTAAGTGGTAGAGCGCTAGCCTTGAGCTGAAGAGCCGAGGGACAGCGCCCAGGCCCAGAGTTCAGGCCCCACGTCTGGACCCAAAAAAAGAAATGCACTCATTACCTTACTTTAGTAACCATAAACCCCCCCAGGTTCATCATCTATACAACAAATAAAGAAAAATAAATAACATAAAAATAGATGCCCAACAGTATGTAATTACGTTATTACATTAAAAGAAATCCTAGTTGGGACTTCATGAAGATCTTGCCATAATGCAAGCAAAAATTATGCCATAGGAAATAATTTAGTTATAAATATCTTATTCTCAGCCATCTCTCGTTGACCCAACAGAGCTCCTGGAGCATACAATTATAGTCAAACTTAGTTCTAATACTTTGGTGACTCATAGTTACATAAAAACCATAGTTAAACGCTTTTTACATTTTTCTTATAAAGACATTTTTTTCAGAAGAGATACATGAAGCACATTGATAATAGTTTGATACCATGATACAATCTAGACGTAAGTCTGTAGCCTGTAGATCTCCAATGACACTTTTGTTGCAAAGACTCAATTCAGATGAAAACTCTAAGCCTATAACCCTAGCTACTCAGGAGGCAGAGACCTGGAAGACTATGGTGCCAAGCCTAGCAGAAAAGTTCAGGAGACTATCTCCAATCAACAAGCAAAATGCTAGACTGGAGAAATGGCTCAAGTAGTTGAACACCAACCATGAGCAAAAGTACAAGGCTTTGGTACCGGGAGGGGGCATTTTAGTATTTGTTCCTTCAGGACATTTGATTCTGTCAAAACATACACTTATTCTTCCATCTGTTTCTCCATCTTTAGCACAATGGCTTCCTTTCTGCCCAGGAAGAAAGACAGAGCACCTTCACGTGAACAAGAAGGCCTGGTGGTCTTCACCGCCTGTTTTTGCCACACACTCTCCACGTCACCACACTTTGCCTTTCCTCATGCTGTTTCTCTTCCTGGATGGGCCGTCTCCCTACGGCTCTCCTGTGCTCTGGGCAGGGCGTGGTCTCACTGAACAGGCCGAGTCCTGGCACTCGGGGTGCGCTGAACATCTCTGAACACTCCCTCCTACCATGACTTCGTTTAACGCATGTCTGTAGATTCCTTCAGAGACGGGGCCAGGTTCGCTCTACCCCCATAGCGCTCTGTGAGTGGGACACTATCTTGTACTTGGGACCTGCTTCATACTCACCTTTCTTTCTTTTAATAAGGTAAAATGTCATCTCAACTACTCTCACAAGCATATTAAGTTAGCTAAGTGCATTCACATTGTTATACACCCATTTTCAGAACTATTCATCTTGTACAACTCAACTCTGTATAATTGCAAGATGAATGCTCATCCCTCTATTCCAAGCTCCTAGGAAAACATGCTTTATTTTCTGTCTTCATCTGGCTTGTGTATGTGTGTGGTGGGGGGGGTGCGGGGGAGGGGCCGGCCAGTACTAGGACTTGAACTTGGGGCCTCCCATCCGCTTCACTTCCTTGCTCCTGGCTGGTGCTCTATCACTTAAGCCACGCCCCCAGCCTAGCATCTTTGCTAGTTAATGGAGACAAAGTCTCACAGACTTTTCTGTCTGGGCTGGCTTTAAACCATGATCCTCCCGATCTCAGCCTCCTGAGTAGCTAAGATTACAGGTGTAGACCACCAGCATCTAGCTAGGCTGACTACTTTTGACACCTCATATAAGAGAATTATAAAATCTGTTCTTCTAGGTCTGGCTTATTTCACGAAACATAACTTCTTTGAAGTTCATCTATGCTATGTATTAGAATTCCCTTCCCTTTTACGGCTGAATAACATCAGCTATCTTTTAAATAGTTGCTAAAACCGATTCACCCAGTTTTAACCGTCCGCACTATCCTGTGAGATAATAAGATGTGCCAGTCCTCTCTCGCAAGCGCTCTGTGCTCTGTGTGGGTCAAAAGAGTTTAACCATAGCATAAAGGACCACAGCAATGGCCTACAAGAAGCCTTATTTATGCTCACTATGTGGAAAATGCACGATGTAACTTGTGGGCAGGGATGGGAGGGGGAAATTATGGGAACATGAAGGAAGGGGTGACATTGTCCAAAAAGGAAATGTACTCGTTACCTGACTTGTGAAATGGTAAGCCCTCTGTGCATCACCTTAATAACAATTATATATATATAGATAGATATAATCTCAAAGAGTCCCTACTCTTGATGACCCATTCTAGGTGACTCACAGTTCTGCTAAGGAAAAATATGAGTCCCGTCTGTTCCAGGCAATCTATCCAATGATCTCCTCCAAGTCTCAGAGCCACTCTCTGAGGCACAGTGGGCCTTTGGGGTCTGCGTGGGACAGAGGAAGAACACTGGTGCTCCTCTGGACGCCAAGGGTTGAGGATCTTTAAATCACTCCGGTGTGCTGTCTCACAGGTAGAGCAGATCTGAGCATCCGTAAGTCGGAATAGCTGTGTGTCGTGGTCTATATGACTGTCCCAGAAAATTACTGTTGTGCACATTATACTGCCCACCAAAAGCTCAGTCTTATTCCTGGCTCTTCATCAGTAAGTGCTCAGACGCTCGCTTCATTTCCCCCAGAATGCTGCCCGACTTCCGCTGGAGACAGGCAGCCTTTCGACGGCGCTCAGCTAGTCAGCTATGGTCTGGATCGCTTCCATTCAGCACAGTGCTTGGCCTCTGCCTTAGGGACACCGTTTGTGTTGGGGGAGGCCAGCGTTCATACAGTTAAGGGCAGGGCAGCACTCCGCAGATCACACACTGATTTAAACACAACTGGCAGCAACCTGGGACCCAAAGCTCATGAGCCGCAACTGAGCTGCACCACGCAGGTTTTTTTGGGGGGGCACTTCTTTTGACTTGAATGTCTTCATTTTTAACTGCATGTCATCAGAACCACGTGATACAGGCACAGATGAGACAGACTTACTCCATGCACTGCCTTCCTTTTACACAAGGGAAATCTGCAACTCCCACTGGCTCTCTAGTCTTTGCAAGTTCACACAGTGAGAAAAAAGAACCGGGATTCACTCAGTTGGCCTGCAATGGCAGGCTCCAACACCAAGAGAAGGAAGTCTGGTTTATATAAGGAAGGATGCAGTTGCGCTGTTCCAGTGGGGACAGATCTGCAGCTTGCAGCCTCACTCTGAATTCTAAACCCTAGCTGGGCTGCCGGGCTGCAGGCTGACCTTGCAGGGAACCCAAGGGAGAATATTTGGACAGGTGATAGTCTTCACAAGCAGCCCCACTGTGATCCCACCCCAATGGCAGAAAAGGTGGGTGGGGTCTGCTTATCTCCAAGATTAGGAGTCCGGGAAGCCCAGGCTGGGTGCAAACACAGACATCAGCCAATGTCTTGGCCTTCAGGGTTCACCGCAATAGGACAATTCCTAGGAAGAACCTCCTTCCTCTCCACCCCACCTTCAGTGGCCAGGCTCCCTGAGCCCTCAAAGTGCTCTGGATACCACACCAGCGGCACAAAGCCGCCTTGCTTGGTGGCAAATGGACATATCCAGTGAAAAGACAAGGCTTGGGCTGGGAAGGTGGTTCAGTGGTAGAGCGTTTGCCTTGCATGCCTGAGGCCCTGGGTTCAATTCCTCAGCACCACATAAGCAAAAGGAAAAAAGCCGGAAGTGGCGCTGTGGCTCAAGTGGTAGAGCGCTAGCCTTGAGCTGAAGAGCTGAGGGACAGCGCCCAGGCCCAGAGTTCAGGCCCCACGACCGGGCCCCCCACAAAAAAAAGACAAGGCTTGAAGACCAAAAACGGGGCGGGGGGGGGCTACATAGCTGGCTCTCACCCATTAAAAGAGGGAGTGGCCAGGCACCGGTACCTCATGCTTGCAATCCCAGCTACTCAAGAGGCGAAGACTAGAGGATCTGACAGACAAATCTGAGAGACTCTTGCCTCTAATTAACCAGCAAAATACTGGACGTGGAGGTGTGGTTCAGGTGACTGAGCACCATCCTTGAATGAGAACGCTACGCAAGAACGGGAGGTCCTGGATTCAAGCTCCAGGATCCTCCCCCACACACAGAGGAGGAGATGGAATCCACGAAGGCGTCACCGTTTTCCTCTATCAGCCTTATACCGTGGACCACCTCAGGAAAACGAGCTAGGAAATGCACGGCGACAATGACATGACACTGGTCACCCTCAGGAGAGATACTTCAAGGATGATTCCTGGCTGCCTGACACCTTCACCCTCATGTGCAAGTTTTTATTGAAAAATAAAGGCAAAGCATGTCCAACTGGTATACCAACCGCTTCGGGCTGAAACCCCTTGAGGAGCTAGAGCTTCAGAAAAGGCTATCTGGGCCTGACCCTCTGTTCATGCCCAAGCCACAGAGGTCCTTTCTGGAAGAATGCCCTTCTCACAGCAAGGATGGAAAAGAGCTTGCATCACAGAGACAGAGGCTGAGGCTTCAGAGCACTGAATAAACCAGCTCGGACGTACCTTTCATCCTCCACTGGCTTCTATACATCCCAACCCCGTCCATCGCTGGTAGCAGCCCGAGAACCACTGTGCCCGGCTGCCTACGCCCACGTCCCGCCATTCCCTCGCGCAACCTTCTTTGTCTGAAAGTACAAAAGCACTCTGCTTTGGACATTTCTCCAGACTTGACTCACGAGGATGCCTCAGTTTATGCAAAATTAATTTAGATTTTTTTCCCTTGTCAATCTCGTCTGTATTTGTTGGGTTCCCAGAGCGCTCTCTTCGCCTCTGCCCTACATAGTCCGATCTTGTCTAAAGTCCCAGGCCAGAGGAGCCCCCAGAGTCCCTGCCCTGCCTTATTCTGATCCATCACATTACCCGCAAGCCAACATCAATATTTCAACATTTGACATATAGCAAAGCCGATGCAAACGCCGCATTATGTAACCACTTCGAGACAAGCTTTGACTTTGGCTCTGAAAAGAGAAGAAAAAAATCGCTGAAGACACAGCTCAAAATTCTACGCCAGGGCCCTTTGGAAGGCAGGGCTATTCATTTACAAGAGGCGGACGCTAAGCCTACCACCAGCATCAAACACAGGAATCGTTTTTTAAGGGCTATTGGACTTGGAGTATTTCAAAAGAGAAAATGTTCAGAGTGCTTTTGAGCTCAAAAAGAAGATTCAAATGTATTTAAATAAATACCACAGCTTGAAAATATTCTTTGGGAGGACGAGAGGGAAAAATCAGGAGAGCACATGGGAAAAGGTGATATTGTCCAAAAAGAAAGATGGACTCTTCACCTGACTTTGAAACTTTTTGTACATCACCTTTATAAGAAGAAGAAAAAAATAAACTTAAAAACAAAACCAATACTGGTCAAAAGAGTAACACAATCCCAAACCAACTATCCTGAGCCAAGGAATCAGATGAGTAAAACTTAAGCAATATGAACACAAAGTACTAAGCTGAGCACAGCCCAAGAATGTAGATCCGTCAGACTTAAATAAAATGGCTATTGATTTTTGTTGTTTGGTTCATTTCATAGGAAATGCATATACATACATACATATATATGTATATATCTTTTTCCAGATAAAAGAATCAAAGAATAAACTGATCATTGCAGACCCCTCAGCCTGCGGGGGTTGGACGTGCGTTTCCAGCGGTCTGCGATGATCTCCATACCTCCCACAGTGCACCATGCAACGGGCTGTATTTGCCCTGGACAACTCCCCCAAGAACCGATACTGCCACACACCCCTCCTCCTGCACTAAGATTCCAGCACTGAGGATTTTCCTCTCCGCCTTCCGAATGGGAGCAGGCAGAAGTCGGGGGTGACATCATTCTTTCCCTGAGGACAGCTTTGACAAGGACCCCAGGAACCAGGTAAGCTGGAGCTAAGGCCTGGCAGCACATTTCTACACCTGTTCTGAGCAGAAACTCCTCGCGTCAAACAATGAGCATGCAGCTATGCATTTACTCAGGAGAAGTAAAACCTGAGGGCTAGGACTTTTAGCGTGGAGTGTTCTGGTGATTTGGGTTGGAGGATTCGCATCTGCCCTGCTGGTCTTTGTGAAGAAGCCCACGGAATGAATAAGCAGGTGAGCCCCACTACCATCCCGACAACTGCAGGTGTGGGGAGCAAAGCAGAACATGGCCCAGGAGCAGCTTCTCCATTCACAGGAAAGGAAGAATGTAACCGGGAGTTTTGGTGTTCGGTTCCCCGGACAGCCCCCTAGAGGCCAGGCCCTGAAGAGCTTTCCGTCCTGGAGCCAAAGCAGCAGGAGGAATAAAATGATAATCCTGCTTCTAGATTTTGTTCTAAATATAAATAAGGGAAATGGCTCTTCTCTACTTAGCTTCTTTTGGGGGGCCGGGGGGAGTGTTCATCATGGTGCTTGAACTCCAGGCCTGGACGTCGTCCCTGAATTTTTGTGCTCAAGGACAGTGACTACCACTTTGAGCCACAGCTCTGCTTCCAGTTTTTAGGCTGTTAATTGGAGACAAGAGTCTCACAGACTTTGCTTCCTCGGCTGACTTCAAACCACAATCCTCAAATCTTTAGACTCTTGAGTAGCTAGGATTCCAGGCATGAGCTACGAACCCCTGGCTCTGTTTCAGTTTTGATTCATGAAAGTAAGATCAACAATTGCTCTAAGGACAGTCTTGTATTGCCTACCAACACCCTAGTCAACAAAGGACCATGTCCACAGAGCTCATCTCATAAACTTAGAGCTGAAAATCTCTTATCTCCCAATATTTTTACTATACGTTTCTTTCTATTGTGATTATGTTCCGATACACAGACAGCGGTGTGTTAGAATGGCCTGCGGAATTCAGAGCCATCTCATGCTGTACAGGTAACCTCGTGGAGGAGCAAGGGACGGAGGCCCTGCCCCTGTGTGTGGCAGCCCGACCTCTAGCTTGGAGAAAGTGACCTATGGCTCGTGCAATGACATCACCAACTGGACGCATTGCTCAGGACGTACGATGGCCACAGAATGCAGCGAAGAGCAGAGCCCGCTCTGAGGAACGTGCTCGTCAGTACCCCCACAACGGCCTTCTGTCATAAACTCAGCGCGTCACTCCCGGGTGAAGCGCACTGAGCAGCGTCAGGCTCACCACAGCCCTGCCTGGCCCTCCCTGCCATCAGCCCTTTCGTAGGGGGCATGGACACCCTCCCAAGTCCCTTACTGTCCATTGGGCTCTCCATCTTTTTGTTTCCCCTCAACCCCTTCACCTAAGCATGAGTTATTTTCCATAGGAGACACTTAACACTGGTTAATTGGAAAATACAGAGCTTACTGCTCCGCTGTGGCCGCCATAGAAGGCAATGGGCATTTTAACTTACACCTTCCTGTTGCCAGGGGTTGGGCTTGTGTCTTTGGCCCTGCACGACTGACAGCTCCCTGCTCTTGGCTTGTCACTCAATCAGTGTTTCTCATGCGTACCAACACTGTGACTTCTGTCACATCCTCATGTGATATTTGTCAGATAACTCTTGTTATGTCCTTATATAACTCCTTATATAATTCATAGATATCCCCCTACAATTCATATTGAGACTCATCTGTCATTTAGATAACGTTGCTACAAAAAGAGACCTAAATGGCACAGGTGAAAAGACTAGTATCCCTCTCTATGACTAACCAAGTTAAATGTAATAAGATATATAAAACTGGCAATTTCAACTAAAAACAGCTTATTTCCACTGATCTGAGTATCACATTTTAGAAAATACAAATGGTCCACCAGGTGCTGGTGGTTCACGTCTGTAATCCCAGCTACTCAGGAGGCTGAGATCTGAGGATTAAGGTTTGAAGCCAGTCCAGGCAGAAAAGTCTGTGAGACTCTTATCTCCAATTAAGCACCAAATAAAACCCCAGAAGTGAAGCTGTGGCTCCAGGTGGTAGAGCACTAACCTTGAGCACAAAAGCTCAAGGACAGCACCCAGGACATTAGTTCGAGTCCCCGGACCAGCACCAAACATAAAAATACAATGAAATACAAATGATCCTCTTTTTATAAAATTGTCCTTTTTCCTTCACATCCTTAAAAGAAAAATCCTCTCTCTCCACTGTCTATCCCCTCTCTAGAGAATTCTGAAATTCTATTCTACACACATATCTTATCCAGCTACAAAACAGCTGAGCTGGAGATCCTAACAGAAGGGCTAACAAAATGTCTTCGTGATAAAATTCCAAGCTTGCTGAGATTTGAGGAAGCCATGTGAGACTGAAGCTCCAAACTTCATTTCAAATCACCAAGAAGGGTCCAGGCAGGGAACAGAAGCTTCTAGAAACCAGGAAGGAATAGCAGCCAATGCAAAATGAATTCAGCGAGTAACTGACCAGGGATGTCCAAACAGAAAACCGATTGTTCTACAATTTATCCCACATTCACATAGTCTGCTTCCCTGAGAACCAAAGCAAGGAGCTAGCAAGCTTCTCAGATGGGCAGAGCCATCACCAGCATTGTTTTTGGCATTTTCCAAAGCCCTGAAAAGAAGCCAGTTTTCACTCAGGGTCGCAGGGTGCAATGTAAAGAGAAGAAAAAGCAATTTAAAACAGAAATGCAGCCACACTGCTGGGATCCTGGGAGGAGAGGATGAAGCGTTCCATCTGATCTGACCACCAGGTTCTCTACTTCCAGATAATCGTTGGAAACTAAAACCGAGCAGACAGTGGGGCCTAACAAATCTTCATGCACACACACTGCTGCCTGTCAGCAAGCCGATGACCGAGCTGGGAAGCAGTAAGGGTAGCATTGTCTGGTCGGAGGATCTGTCCAATATACAGAGCGACCTCACCCTGACCACGCATGGGCTGCTCTCTTCCAGGAAAAGACACTCCAAAGTTGGTGCCATCGACCCTGAGAGACTTCAGTTCCATACCAGGGCTCTCGTGGAATGGAAATAGATGAATCAAGGAAGTTTCCTTCACAGCTGGCTCACACCTGGAGTCCTAATTACACAGGAGGCTAAAATCTGGAGGATTGCAGGGCTAGGCCACCCTGAGCAGAACCTTTCACAAGACTCTTATCTCAAAAATAACCAACAAAAAGCCAGGCACTGGCGGCTCATGTCTGTAACCCCAGCTACTCACAAGGCTAGGATCTGAGGATTACAGTTCAAAACCAGCATGGGCAGGAAGCGTGCGTGCACGCGCACACGCACACACTCCCTCCCCTCCTCCCCCTTTCCCCCCCCCCCGAAGTGGAACTGGCTGAAGTGGTAGAGCACTAGCCTTGAGCACAAAACTTCAGGGACAGCACCAAGGCACTGAGTTCAAGCCCCAATAACAGCACACATATACACACACAAAAATCCAGGGCTAGAAGTGTAACTCAAATGGTAGTGTGCCAGCTGAGCAAGTGTGAGACCCTGTGTTTAAACACAAACAGTTCTCAGCTGCCCAGACCACAGTGTCGGTGACTTGCCCTAACCTGGCACTCTCCAACTCGGGTTGACCTTCGATGGGGCCACTGGCTGACCTTGGGTGTCAAGCGCAGCAGACCTCAGTGGGAATTTCTGCACCTGTGCGTGCCCCTGCCCCAGTGCTTGTCATTCTAAAGATGCCAGTCTGCGAGAGAAAAATCTGGGGAAATTCCAAATGATTCCCAATCCAAGTGCAAAGCAGACGCCAGCGGGCAGTAACAGGAGGTGGGGGACAGAGGCAGGGACTTGTTAAAATGCAGATTCTTAGGCATTCAGTTGGACTGGCCAGTGCAGACACTGGACAAACGCACTTTGACCAGTACTCTGTAAAGGTTGATGCCCGGAGTCTGCGCGCTACCTGAAACTGGAATGGGCAAAAGTTGACATCGTGTCCAGCTGCATTCCAATTTCACTTCGACAGGAATAAAATTCTCCTGCAGGCGATCAGTTTCCAGGGCAAAATGAAAATCACTCCAGTCTACTCGGTCCCCAAGGCCCCATCACAATCAGTGCCTTCCCGGCCTCCGCTCTTCCCACAGGAAGGCAAAGTGACGTTCTGGGCAGCACTGAACCGGACACCGCTGGAGACAGGGTTCCTGGCAACTTTCTGAACAGAAGAAATTGATAGAAGACTTTTGAAATTAAAAAAAAAAAGATGAAGCTCACGCCTGTAATCCTAGCTACTCAGGAGAGTGAGATCTGAGGATTATGGTTCAAAGCCAGGCAGGCAAGAAAGTCTGTGAAACTTTTTTCTCTTTTTTCTTTTTTTATTGTGAGAATATCGTATAGAGGAGTTACAATTTCTCGGGCAAGATAACGAGTACATTTCTTATCAAGCATTGCTGCCTCCTCCTTTGTTTCCCCTTCCCATCCCTTCCCCCCCACCCGATCCTCCCCCCTACCCCCCACCAAAGTTGTTAAGTTCATTTGTGGACAACATAAGGACTTGTACATCTCATTGTTGCAATGGGTCCACCTGTCCATGAAACTCTTATCCCCAATAAACAAACAGAAAACCAGAAGTGGTGCTGTAGCTCAAGCGGTAGAGTGCTCACCTTGAGCTGAAGAGCTGAGGGACAGCGCCCAGGCCCAGAGTTCAAGCCCCACCACCGACAAAAAAAAAAGACGAACCGAAATGAAGCCCTATAGAAAACTTGAGAATTTAAAAGAACAATGGACAATTCAAGAGATGCCATTGCCTTTTTGATTGATTATATGTTTGAAGCTGATCGTTTTAAATTAATAGGCAGCCTTCATTGTCTAGGCAAGAAGAGTAATTCCCAGCAGTCAGCTCTTCTCATTAGTGGGTGCCAGATCAAATGGATGCAGCATTTCTTAATCTGCTTCTGTTCTGAATATGAGCAGACCTTTTTCTTGTCATTATTCCCCCAAACAACAGCATACACAAAGTATTTACATAGCAGTTTCATTGTCTTGGATACTATAAGTAAGCTATAGAAGATGCAAAGATCATAGGGTGATGTGTGCAAGTCAAATGCAAAGATGGCATCATTTAAGTAGGGCATTTACAGATTATGATATCCAAGAGGGGCCCTGGAACCAGACTCTGACTGATACCGAAGGCCTACATACATCCTGGTATTCTCTGTCATCTAAGCGTTGTGTTTTGACCATGAACGCATTTTTATGTCTAAACTTGATTTGTGGGTAGTTGTCGCATCAGGCAAAACCACAAAGCCACTAATAATTTTTAACCATCAAGAATTTGTGTATAATTGCTTTGTGAACTCAACATATCAAAGATAATGAAGTCTTCGTGTTTGTCGTAGATGCATTTAGGAGTTCAAATGCAGTGAGTCAAGGCTTTTAGTCCAAATTAACTTTGAGTTATTTATCTCTATAACCAAATTTCCATAATTTGTTATAAATGCGGTTTTCTTTAAAAATTCAATATAACTACTTAGCCGAGTATTAACTACTTTATATCAGGAAATGGTTGGCCTTGATTTATATTCACTTGTAATTTTATGTTCTAAAGATCTTTGTAAATATTATAACTAATCCTGAAAAGAATTACACAGCTCAGCAGGGTATAGTAGCACATACTTGTAATCCTAGCATTTGAGAGCCTGAAGTAGGAAGACTGAAGAGTCTGAGGGCAATCTGAGCTACAAAGCAACTTCAGACCAAACCACGCTCCATAGGGAGACCTAGTCTCAATAAAAAAAAAAAAAGAATTACACAATTGTGCTCATTCTGTGTCAATAGCTCATCTGTATAAGGTCCTATAAAAGTAGTAAATATGCACAACTTTAATAATCAGATGCCCGTTAGTAATAAAACTATTTTGGAAAATTCCCTAGCTATTCATTATTCTTCCCCCCGAAAAATGAATGGGCAACACAAATAAGTGCTATGACCCAGATACTTATATTAGCAATTCTATTAACAACTCATTTCTCTTGTAAGGAGGGTTGTGAGATCATTTTCTACTCTCTGAGACTCTCAATTGTTTTCTTTAACAAAAATGGCAAATTATATGACTTTTCATGAACGGTTTTAGGAATTTCTGGTCCCTTGTTGCTTCTGAAGGTGAACATTTCCCCATTCTTCTAGAACATTTGTCAAAAAGAAATCATACCCACAGTTCACAGGAAATATTGTCCTCTCTACCTCTGAATATGTAGACAAATCTAACATTAGAACGGTTAACGTAAGAATGAGCCTACATCCGCACTTGCCCTTTGCAAAAGCAAGTTTGACTGTCCAAAAGTTTGATTTTGCTATGTTGAAAAGAGAAGATGATCAGAACAAAGACATTAAGGAAGAAAGGGAAGTGAAATTCTCGCTGCAAACATTCTCCAACACAACAACATCTGCCTGCAATTCCAGCTGTGATCTGCCATCCATCCTCCCCACCCCCAGGGATAAATGGAAATGGGAGAAATACTAGGGAAACCCACGCTGCAAGTTCAATTAGGGTAAGAAAGCAAGCACAGGAGGTCTGTTTCTGTTGGTCTTTAAAAGTATCAAACCCTATCATCTACATCAGAAAGAAACTGTTCTTTGGAAGATCTTGAAATTAGAGGAAAATATGAAACTGGTTTTATCTTTATTTATACGGTAGTGCATTTCATCCTGTGCTGATCAAAAGCTGGAAGTCTGCTCATGAAATAGCCAACAGGTAAAGACTAGGCAAACAGTAACAAGATTTTGGTAAAGTGACGTCATCCACGAAAGGCTCAGGGCCTGCCATTGTTTTTTCCTTCCTTTACCTCCCCACAAGCTCAATGACTCCTCATCAACCCACCCACCTTGTCCTCACAACGTGGCTTTCCAAAATCCACAGAACAGGCGCACCCTCTTCCCCTCTGTCTTTGTGCATGGCTGCGCGTGCATTAGTCACGTTGTTTTAGGCCTTCTTACTAGAGCAGCTGCCCCATCTACAGTTTCCCTTTCCACAGTTTCCATGACCTACAGGGACCTGTAGTCTAGAAATATGAATGGAAGATTCCAGAAACAATGGACAATTCTTAAGTTGTATGGTTTTTCTGGGAGGTGCGCTGAAATCTGGGGCCACCTCCCTCCGTCTTCCCTTGGGCGTGAGCTATCCTTTGTCCAATGTTTCCACTATGTGTACTGTACTCTCCCAACCCAGCAGTCACGTGTCATCAGTGTTCATGGAAGGAAGGAAGAGAGAGAGGGAGGAGGGAGGATGGATGGATGTAAGAAATAACACTATAAACAGTTGGAGAAAGGGAGGATGGATGGATGGATATAAGAAGTAACACTGTATACAGTTGGAGGAAGGCAGGGAGGATGGATGGATGGATGTAAGAAGTAACACTGTATACAGTCTGAGGTCAGAAGCTATCTTCTCCTTTGAACCCAGCGCCCTGGAACATCATCTGTCATGAGTGTACACCCAATACATTAACTTAGTAAGAATTAATAGCTTAGTTCTCAAATGCCCTCTTTGGTTGAACTCCTCATCGAGTCACCATGAGCTTTGGAATCGTTTGTTTCATTCAGAGGAGCTTTCCCAATGTAAATGAGATATATTCAGCCCCTTCAGTTTTCCTCCCCATCAACAAGCAAGTTTGTACCTACTCAACGCTTGAGCGAGGGCTCATGAGGAGGTCTTCCTTAGGAGAAACCTTCCTCTCAGAGAAAGAAATTCCTTTTCCTGGCGCACACTGAGACAGGACACACTCTGAGCCGCTCCTTTATTGAGGCTTTGCCAAATGCCTCAGCTAGGCACTAATTGTAAGCTTGACCTTCCCTAAAAGCAGGAGGTCAAATACCATTTCCTTTCCTCCAGACAGGTCCCTCTGGGCCCCTGTTCCCCAGAATCATGAGTCTGGAATGACGAAGGCCAAAACAGTTGAACAACTTTTCAATGTGCCTCACAACCAAACACGTTTCTGATTTTTATGTCCTTTCCAGGGAACAATCTAAACACACATGACTAGTAATCATCTGTGATAATTCATTTGAATCTCATTTTGAGCGGGATTGAGAGAGGTCTAGAAAACTGTACTGAGTAGTGAGGCAGTTGGACTATGCTAGATGTAGATGCGTCTTTGGTTTGTGAGAGGAACACAGAAAAGTTCGGAGGAACAGACTAGTAAGGGGCTAGCATGGTATAAGTGGAGCTTAATGAGCAATTTTGGTGCAAGCTCCTAAGATAGAATACAAACAGGAACACAGACAGCAAAATGGACGAAGGTTTGTACAGAAATAAAGTTTGTGTTGCTAAGTGAACTACAGCCTAGTCTTACTACACCAAAACAAAGCATTTAACTACTTCTTGTCCTTTCCCTGAGATTTTCTAAGAGGCCGAGCTTGAATTTGATGGGCCTGTGTACTTGGCAAGGAAATTTCCAGGCAGCCTAGCATCTGGGCTGCAGTATGGGCAATTCTGTCTTTTTTTTTTTTTGGCCATATTTCCAGCAAGAATTGGGAGTAAGAAGGAAGCACAAGAATTTCAAAAAAATGTAAAGCCTGGCTAGAAAAGCAGTTTGTGTAAGGGTTCAGCTAAGGACCGTATGACTGCTAAAGGGATTAATACCACTAAAATAAAAGAAGCCAAGGGCTTTGCATTGGTCCACAAGAAAATGGGTGTGGAAGAAATCTCAGAAAGCAGGGGAAGCCGTTAGAGTATCAAGGACTTAGAAATGAGTATTATTTCAGAAGAGAAGACCAGGGGCCGACGGCAAGCCGTGAAGTCCTGCGGACTCTTTCCCCCTTGACCAGCCTTCACCACACTCACAGCTTCTGCATCCACGGTCAAGTTGGACCGGGGATGCCTCATGCCAGCGCAGTGCCCGGCATCACCCAGGCATGCAGGAGGTAAGGTGGCTAATGTCACAGAAGGCGTCCACCAAGATTCCAAAGGCAGGATGTCCAGTATCGTGGGTCCATGCCAGAGCTCCGGGCGGCAGCCCCTCACAGGGTCACGTGTGGAATGGTGAGCATGAAGCTGAGGCCTAACTAAAGGGACAAAACACAGTGCTTCTCAGAGAAACCTCCGGCAGCAGACTCCGGCTTAAGGAGTGGCGCTGCAGGCTGCAGTGAGCAAGGCCGTAAGGGCAGGGCTGCCACCCTGTGGGGCTACACCGGGCCCCAATATTCCCCAAATGCTGGACACAGAGCAATAGGACTTCCTGCTCGGTCGTGCTTTGGCTGCGGCTCTGCACGCCCCAATTTCCTCCTTTGGGAATGGGAGTCTCTGCCCTTAACCTATCTTCCCCATTGGATCCTGGAAGTCTGTGACTCTTATTTACTTTTTACAGAGGCTTACAGAAGAATTTGCTTTATGTCTCTTGAGGAGACTTAAAAGTTGGATTTTTAACCAATGCTGGTGCAGTTAAGACTTTTAGAGGTCTGAGGAGATGAGTAGAAGAGACCTTGCTTTGTTGGGGGAAGCAGGCAGGGTGTGAAGCAGGAGGACCATGTGTTGAGGGCCATTGGGAAGCAGCAGAAGTTCTCAAGGGTGGGGCCTGGTGAGAGGCCTTCAGGTGACTGGGGGCCTGGCCTCGAAGGGACTGTGGGATTCTGGCATCTCTCTTTTCCCTTCATTTTCTAGCCACAAGGAAAGCAGCCGACTCGACCCTGTGCTCGCTGCTGCAAGGAGCCACCTCATCCCAGATCCAAAAGCAGCAGGGCCAATTAGTAACAATTACGCCACAAATGGACGGATACATAAAAAACAAGAGGCCTCCAAAAGGACAGGCCTGAATAAACCTCCTCTTTACAAACTGATGAGCTCTCATGTTTGTTATATTGATTAAAAAAAATGGATTCACTCCATCTCCAGCCCACTTACCCAACTCTGATTAAAGAATCCTTCCTCCTCCATGATGCATTACGATAACTAAGAAAGCTTTACCCAAGACAGCCTTAACGATGCCCACACTTGCAAGGTAATTCCGAATAACATCCTTCTTCATGATCAAAAATAAGCTGGTTTGCACACTAGGAGCTGGGGGTTCTCAGGACACTGTATATCTCCTCTAGCATTCTAATTCACGTACTTTAAAAAAATGGCAGTCCAAAAATTGTAAGAACATTTCATCAGGCACAACAGAGCATGCTTATCAGCCCACCGGAGAGGCAAAGACAGGAGGATCATGGTTTAAGGCCAGCCTGGGCAAACAGAGAGATCTTGTCTT